CACACACACACACACACACACACGCAGCACCTGTCTCTAATTATGTGGCAAGGTTGGGGCCAAGAGGCCAATGAGACCACAATGTCAGGAGTCCCCACTCTTGGGTCAAAGATCAGTCATGTGACTGGCATGGAGCCTCCAAAACCTTGGGGTCCCAAGCCTGGGTACAAAGGCCCTAGGTCTCCATCCCTTCCCTGGGTCAGAAGCTCCTTGGCGATGCCCTCCCCAGATGAAGACCCCTGCATTTCCAAAACAGAAGGTCAGGACAGATCCCCCTGTGGGTCCTGGCCTTGCTCATTCCACTCTCACTGTTTTAGGGCTCCAGCCCCCGCTCTGCTTCTTATCCCCAAACCTCAACAACTCCCTCCTCTCAGTGTCATCTGCTTCCTGGGGCAAATCCTCAGCCAGCCAGCCTGTCTAAAGCCATCCCTCTTCCTCCAGCTGTCGCCTGGCCCAGTCTCTGTCAGACTCTTCCTGGGCATGGAGGAAAAGGGGTCCAGGAGGGATGAAACAGGACATGAGGAGGACTTGGGGGGCTCAGAGATGGTGCATGCTAGGGAGCTGGGCTCAGCCCTCACTTCCCCTTTCCTAGCAGAGGAGGAAGTAGGCTGGGGAGCTGGCCACCTCTGTCTGCTGGGGCAGCAGCGAGTCACCTTCTTGTTTGCAGGGCCATCCCAAGCCTGTGCCCCTTGCCCTGAGCTTCCAGGCTCTAAAAGGCAACCTGTAGCCGGTGCACTTGTAGACTGGGCATACCGAGGTCAGGAGCTGGGAATCCCAGATGTTGAGCAAACAAGGATGCCCCCTCCCCCAGCAAGAAGAAAACAACTGGACTGGCCCGGGGAATTTTCTCTTCCCAGGGAGGAGACTGGGAAATTGCCAAGATGCGGGCTCTGGCTCCCAGTGCAGGGTGGGGCCCCTGCTGGCTCTGCCCACTCCCACAGGAGGCAGAGGATGCCAGGTGCTGGGTCTGGGCAGAGTAAGAATGGAGTCTGGAGCAGAGACTGGGGACTGTCCCTTGCAGGACCTCGGTGGGTCTCCGTGGTGGCGGTGGGTGACCCGGGCAGCAGCCTGCCTCAGCCTAACCCGTACTCACGTGTCGCCGTCCTCTGAGATGTAAGTGAGAGCTTCAAGCTGCTGGGCACTCAAGGGACCCGTAGGGGGCAACGGCGAGACAGGGCCGGGGGCCTCGGGCTCGGGCTCGGGCTCGGGGATCCCGGGTAGGGGCAGGGGCTCAGTGAGCGAGGAGGAGCCATAGGCCGAGTAGAGGCGCTCGCCCTCCGCGTCCTCCTTGGATCTTGAGCTTGACATTTCTCTGCATTGATTTCTGAATGAAAAAAAAAATTCTAATACTTCCGGGGCGAGGCCCCGCCCCTCCGGAATCCCCCGGCCCCGGCGCTTGCGTAGGCCGGAGTCATGGTTACCGTCTGACTCACGCCTGTGGGAATTCACTCTGCCTCCATTCATTCATTCATTCTCTCTCTTCGCCTTTCTTCATTCTATTCATTAATTCCATGGGCTCATTCATTTCTTCCTCTATATCTTCCATGTCTTTATTCGTTTATTCATTCCTAAAATAATTTTTTTTTATTTTACAATGCTTAAGATTGAACCCAAGACCCTGTTCCTCAGTATATCCCCAACTCATTTTTATTTATTATTTTAAAAATAGATTTTATTAGTCTGTTTGCAGTACATAATGATCTCATTCCTCGTGGAGATCTAGTGCATGTACATAACTCAGTTCTTTTTTCACCCTTTTCCTCTTCCCCCCTTCCATCTCTTGGTCTTCTCTTTTGCAAAAGATTTCTCTCTGTTTTATTACCTTTGAATTGCTCTTTAGTTTACTTCTACTTTGTCATTCCTTTTAGAGGAATGTTCATTAATTTTCTGCACAAGTTGGACGCTTTGTGGAGTTGGTGGGGTGAGGAAGCACTGCTCCCTGTCACCTGCCTGTTTCTCCACATTTCCCCCACCCGGGTCCAGGAGTGTGGGTGGGAAAGAGAATCCATTAGGATCTTCAGGGACCAGGTCTTCCCTGGGGTGCTGCTCAGAGGTCCTCCTGTGCCTGTTTTCCACACACAGACCTGGGCCTGGGGCTGTGTTTCTGGAAAGTGTGTTTCTCTGCCAGCCCACTGTCTAATGAGCCCGTGCTCCTGGGCTTCCTTCCTCCTCGGGGTGAACCTCTGACCTCAGGCGGTTGTGGTCCGGGAAGTTTAGTTCCTCGTGGTGGGGCTGAGATGGGGAGGCCCCAGCCTCAGCCCTGGCACCAACATCTTCTCTTCCCTGTCCCTGCTTTCCCAGTGCCCAGGGAGGCCGTGGGAGGGCACCACCACCCACAGATAAGCTCCAAGCCAGCACTTTGTGACTTGCTTCTATCCGTGACACCAAATATCATTGGCCTTGGCCAACATTGCTCTTAGAGGATCATCCCCAAGGGAGCAGCTGTCTGGGGGCAGGGAGGTACTGGAGACTGAACACAGGATCTTTGCACTGGCCACATCCCCAGGCAAGCCCAGTCTAAAATTTTTTCAGACACTGTCTCACTAAGTCCCTAAGTTGCCCAAGCAGGGTTTGCACTTGCAAACCTCCTGCCTCAGCTTCCCAAAGTATGAGGATTACAAGCACACACCCGTGCACTCAGCTTCTTTTTCATCTCTGGCTTTGGGTAAAGCAGCTGGATGAGCGTACACAGCTACTAAGCAACATCCTACTGCCCTTCCCCCTGCAGTCTCATTTTATTCATCAATCCATCCATTCACTCACCTGACTAACACACATGGGACTTCCGCTAACTTCCTGACATGGTTCTCGGCGGGCAGCAAGACCGACTATTATAGTGACAATCATAACCAACACCTACACTCCTCTACCAACAACCAAAATTTCCCAAGGTCCAGCCTTCAAAAGGCTTCCTGGTGATTATAATTCAGAATGGTTTCACTAAGGCAAGGTGTAGCGGAGCACACAATTCAGCCAACTAATTAGAGTGTGTGTGTGTGTGTGTGTGTGTGTGTGTGTGTAAAGGTTCCAACTAGGAATTGAAAGGGAAGAAGGGTGGGGAGGGGAGAAAGCGTGGTCTTACACACTGTTCTCCATCTCCTGCAAGACCAGAGTAGAGAGAATGCATTAGGAAGGATGCTGTGAGGACCATGAGGGGTTAACCCGAGGAAACTGCCTCTCTGTCCCTTGGGGACACTTGGGGTGCAGCTCAGTGGTGAGCACATGCGAGATCCTGGATTCCTGCCCCACTCCCTCCCTCGATGGTGTGATTTCCAATGTTCCATTCTCCTCCCCTGCATGCTCCTCTCCCATCCTCCAAGTCTGCAGGAGAAGAATCATCTGCAGACCAGTTGGGCCCAAATCTGGAACTATGTCCTATTTTAATGTCAGCAAACCGAGGTCCTGGCCTGACCCAAATCCTGAAGTTGATTTCAACAAAACCTTTGTTTTTGTTTTTGAAATTTTCTTCCTTTGTCAAGCTTGAAGCCACACGGGTGGACATCTGAGCCCCTTGCGAAAACACAAGCCTCAGGAAGAATGCAGTGATTTCCCTTCTAATTCACACACAGGCTAAATTTAAGGAAACCCCAACCCAGCCCACAGCCAGGCATAGGCCATAAACTGACAGGTGTGTGGCAACATCTCTCTTGGCCACATGGGGTCAGCATTGAGTCACCCACTGCCCCCAGTACCCCAGAGCCTGCACTCCTGACACTAGGAATGAATGGGAGGACGGACTGTGGCAGGGGTATTTGGAAGAATGACTTGGGGGCTTTGACTCAGGCTGGTGTGTGGTCAGGGCCCTGGCTTTGTCTTCTCAGCAATACCTCCAGGGCAGGCCTTTCCAGTCCTTCTGTCCCCCTGCTGGTTCCCTCAGTGGTGGCCCTACTTTCCACCTCCCCCTACCCCAGCCAGATACATTTTCAGCAAACAGGCGTCATTTCCATGGTAACCTGGGGTCAGCCGGGTCCTTCCGCCCCCTTCCTGTCATTCCCTTTCCTGGAGCTTCCTGGGAAGGCTGTGTGTGAAGGAAGGCAGGGATGGTCTTTTTTCTTTTGGGAGCTCCAAAATTGGCCAAAAGGAGTTGGGCTGTTCCTTATGCTGATGTTCCATGAGGTAGAGAAGAAGCAGTGGGTGTCAGGAGGAGGATTATAGGCACTGAACAAGCAGGATGTGGTGGCACATGCCTGCCTATAAGATCGCTGAGTGTTTGAGGCCAGCCTGGGTTACCTGGTGAGTTCAAGGCCAGCCTGAAGCACATAGCAATGATATAGGGGAAATAAATGGAGCCTCCAGCCTGCTAGATGTCAGATATGCTGTTTGTGTTCTTTGAAACTAAAGAATGAATTTTAAGGTGCAAAATCATGAGATGGGTACCATGCAGAACAAAACTCTGATAAGATTACAAGACTAACAAGTGTAAATACCGAATAGTTTCTCCAGTGTGAGAAACCGAAAGTGTAAATAAGGACTAAAAGGTATAATAGGTGGTGTGAAATAAGAAGAAAAGGGACAAAGAGGAAGGGGAAACAGGAGGGGTAGGGGAAAGAAAAGAAGGGAATGGAATTACTATGAGAAAATGAAAAATATTGGAAACAAAGTTTTTGCAGATAGGGAGGAAGGGAGGGGTTGAAGGGACGGCAGGGGAATGGGGAAAAAATAAGAGCCAAGATTGATTATGTAAAGACACAAATTTTCAGCAGTCCTTGTCATCATGTTGTATACATTAAATGTACCAATGAAATTAACAACAACAAAAAACCCAATTGCAAGTTTAGCTGCTTAGGTAACACTGATCCAATGAGGAAGGTCACATAGCAAGTGTATATGGAAACAACAAGGAAGCGACGAACCAGGGCGTCCTGGCCACCCACCTGGGTGACCCATGTCCACCCAGACCTCACTGAACCAGGTGCGCACAATCCCCAATCCATTGCTCATCCTTCAGGGAGGCATGCAGGCCCAGTCACCCCATCCTCATCTTGAGGCCTGGCCCTCGACAGATGCACCTCTACAGCAGCAATGTCTTCATCCACTGCACTGACCCTTGGAGGCCTAACCCTGTCTGACTGCTTAGAATATTTCTACCTAACTTAGCTGTCTATAATAGCAAGACCCTGTCCCACAAATACATAAACAGACATTGAATGAGAGACTGAGGAACCTGTGCAGCTTAGGAAAGGCCACAAGTGCCAGGAACTCTTACGACCTCTGCTCCTGCCGCACATGGCAGACAGGACTGAAACCAGGACAGGAGGTGCAGGATTTGGCTGTGAGATGACTTCCCAAAAAGCATGGGTGGGAGGCATTGGAATGAGCCACCAAAAGGGATTCCTCCTAGGCCACTAGAGTGACAAGAACCCTGGTATTTTCAGGACCATATCCTCCTCATTGGGCAGAGAGAAAGGGATCACTGTCCTGGAGGGGGTCTTCCGGCCAGGCTGGAGAGCTCCGAATCAGTAGGTGACAGAGGAGCCACCTGACCTTGCCTACAGAGGGAAGGGAAGAAATGGCTGGATCAGGACTTGGGGGGTGGGCAGCAGTGGCTCTCCTGCCCTGGATGTGACCAAGAAATACAAGGGCACATTAGTGTGCCCGTGTCCCATCCTCTGGGGTCAGATACCCAGGCTTTGCCTCAAGGTGACTTCATACCCCAAAGGTCTCCCTAGACTTTTTTTTTGTATGGGGGATCGAATTCAGGACCTTGCACTTGCAAGACAGGCAGCAGCACCATTAAGCTAAATCCCCGGCCCCTCCTTAGACTTCTGAATGGGAAAGATCTGAATTTTAGGAGTAGCTCTGTGAGTATCAGCAGCTGACCCGAGTAAGTCATACACCCTCCCTCTTCCTTGGCTCTTTGTGGGTAATGAACACTTACTATGTTAAAGACCCTAATGACAAACGGTAAGGCGCCACCACGATGTGCCCAAAGATTGATCATGTGTGCCCTAGATCACATCCTATCACAGTTCCAAGGCCTCCCCTCCCCCTTAGATTTGTAATTCTGGGGGCAAGGTGCTGCAGACAGAATTCAGGACCTCGCACATGCTAGACAGACAAATGCTCTATCCCTGAGTTATATCCCAGCCCCAAAGGTGGGAACTGTTTTATTCTGCACAGAACACACAGTAGTTACCTAATTCTTATAGGACAGAGGTGCCCAGGAGCACAGGGATGAATGGACTCTTTCCCTTCCCGTCTATCCAGGTATGCAGGGAGTGCAGTTAGGTGGCTAGGAGCAGGTAGGCTGCCTGCAGTCCCCCAGCCCCCTGTGGCCTGTGCGTCTACTTCCCACATCCACAGCTCAGGGCCTCAGAGATCGTGCAGTTGCCTTTCTTGCTGAGGAATTTTTTGATGAAGAAATGAGGGCTCAGAGAGGAGAAGATACTCGCCCAAGGTCACCCAACTCATCAGTGACAGCTACGATTAAAATACAGAACTAGGTTTCTTTGATCTCCAGCCGAGGGCAGTGAGCTCACTTCACTCTTTCTAGGAGGCTGAATTTCGGGAGAAGAAGATGGTTTTGGGGAGGCCAGTCGTGCATCCTCATCTCTGTCCTCTGTCAGTCCTTTCTCAAATCCAGTTCCCTACTGTCCCTTGTACCTAACTCCACACCCCCACCCCTCACAGCCTGGCTCCTACCTGACTCTCTCCCAGCGCCTGGCAATGAGGACTTTCCGGGGGTCGGAGTCCCTTTCCCCTCCCGCCCTGAGCACCGGGACCTGGGGAGCCGAGGGAATGTGTCGGGTCCCCTGCGGCGCCCATAGCCGGGAAGGATGAGGGGCGCTGCGTAGCGACCTTCCCGGATGGGCGCGCAGTGCGGGGCGCTGGGCCCTGCGCGGAGAAGGGGTGCGGGGAGCCCCTGTTGCTTCTCTCCTTTGAGGGGTGGCTACGAGGGAGGC